TTTAAAATGATGTGTGAGCCCCTGGGCCCAGCCACTAGACTGTTGCCAGTGGCTGCTCGCAACTCTGAAGCGGTGGCACCAACAAGGCGTAGACATCCAAACCAGTGGTTTGGCAGCAAGAGCCTTTTGACCTTCCTTGGTTGAAAGGACAGAAGCCTCCTCGGTTCCCACAGATGAGGGCCATAGGATTTCTTGTAACTTAACTCTTAATTTTGAGCTGTTCTAGGAGAAGCTTTTATAACTTGATGTGGAAACTGCATGAAATAATGTGGTTTTGAGTGTTGTATACAGCATGAAGCTGAAGTCCAGGACTGGTGAGGTTTGGAGTGCCTCTAATAGGGGAAATTAAAAATGAAACTCAGCAGGTGGAACTCAAAGAAAGGAAACATGAAGTCACATTTTGCTGTGACAGTGATAACTTACTTCAGTTCGTGGAATAGTTGTGTGTTCCAACAGTGAAAGTATGGTCTTGCAGGGTGTGGTATATTTTGTGGCTCAATGATGTGTTTAAACACATGACGTGAGCAACCTATGTTCACTTCAGATTACAAGCCACAAATCTTGTTCTTGTAACAAGTTCAACACCATTGAGAAGAGTCTAAGTCAATTAAGCAGATAAACTGATGCGGGTCAGTTCGTCCTATGGAAGTTAGTAACACAGCCGGGGCTGTATACAGAGCAAACAATAGTCATAGCATCTAATGTTCTGCAAGGTTTATGCTGTTAGTCATCAGCCTTAACCACTTAAAATTTTGAACATTTGTTATTGCTAACTTTTGGGGAACCGCCTGTCTCTCTCTTGGGCGGTTTTAAATGCCAAAGTTCCTTACAATATGACATATGTAAGGAACACATACATATGACACACCAAAGTCTTGTGTGAATCTAGAAACAGAAAAAAAAAAAAAAGGTCTGGCTGAGCCCTAAAGCAGAGTAAACAAAATCCTTTCATGGAAGTGAATAGCTCAGCAAAGACATGAGAAAAGTCCAAGACAAACTGGATATTCTTAGAAGTCTCTGTGCAGGGTATCGCGCCGCTGAGCACGATCCTCTTAACAGCAGACAAGAAATGGGAGGAAGTGGGTTGTGACTAAGACTCCCATCATTTGTTTCTCATATTCCTAATTTGATTTTTTTTTTTCTTTTTTTAGAGTCAGGTTAGTTTTCAGCTGGATGAATTCATTGTTTTGCTGACCACAAAGCTCCTCAATTCCTACAGTCAAGATGGCAGAAGTAGGATGAAAATGATGCTGGTGAAGAGGATGTGGAAAAACTAACTCAGGTCCTCACTGGTCCAAGGTACTGTATAAGCATGCAGTAAAACAATCCTTGCCCCAGAAAGCTTATGATCTAACTTTAAGAAACTAAAGTATGGATGGGTGAAGCAAAAAATGAGTATAGATGCAGAAGCAAATGAAATTACAGCAGAGAGCCTCTCTGCATTACTGTACTCCAAAGAGAGAAGTAAAACAAAACCGAAGAGGTGACAGGGAGTAAAAAAGGATGTTTCAGCAATGCAACTGATTTACTGCTTTTACTAAAGAGAACAGAACTTTGAAATCTTTAAACAGATATATGTCACAAGACAATTATGAACAAAACCATGCAAAATGAGCGATTTTGAGACTAGGATAATGGAATGTTTTCTTGGTTACTCGTTTTGCCCTCATCCCATCTGTGCTGGAGTTTCCCTGTTACTTCGTCACCCTGCACGCACGTTACACAAACGGCTCTTCCATCATGAGAGGGGGCTGTTTTCCAATGGGATGGAAAACTCTCCCGTTTAGATTTACTAAGCTTCACCAGAAAGCAAAAAAGCAAGAAACAGATGTTTCTAATTCTTGCTTCTTTTTTTTTTTTTTTTCTTATCTACTGTGCAAGATGTTATCACTTCGATTCAGGTTATCAGGAAAAGAATTAAAGACGATTTGCTGCTCCTAACTGGAAAGGCTAGAGGAGAAATGAATTATATGACTTTTGAATGTCATTGTTACAAATCATACTCCAAAAGCGAAAAAAAAAAAATCAAATAGATGAAGTTATATTTCTGGCCTCATTGAGAACAGAAAAGTTAGGTCCGTCTAACCCTCTTTATTTAGATCAGACAAGAGCCCTGCACAGTACTGTGTCAGAGAGGCAGAGCTTCCTGGTCAGTGTTAGTGGTGCCTCCTTCTTAACTTTTTTTGAAATATATTTCAAAAACTTTGTTTCATGCAGCATTATGGCAATAAGAACATGCCTCTCCATGTTGCATTGTGCATCATTCTGAATTACACAGATCTCTACCTAACCACCAGGCCAAGTCTATCCTCTGCAGAAGATACTGCAATTCATTTGATTGATTTCACTCTGTTAATTCATTTGATTGATTTCGCTCTGTTAATGCCTGACTGCCTTTAAACCCCAGCGTAGTCCATGGGAAATAGTAGCTTTACTGAGTGTGGCCTGTGGCATTTGACTGGAGCAGATTTAAACCCATAAGCGTTATTCAGTCAGCACCCCTTACTTCTTGCAGAATTTCATTCCTATCTGTAGCTTAAGACTTAGCATTGTTTTAGACCTTGCCTTTTTTAGGGTTTTGTTCCTATGAATTTCTCTCTGAAGGTAAGATGGCTGTTGCTTTCATAAGGTTTGCAGTTTCAGGCCATAAATAATTATCCAAGTTAACGTAATCCTGGAATGGATGTTTTTCCTGAGATACCAAGTCAGTATTGCCAGCTTTTTGAGACAGTATTGTCTCTTCTCTTTTGGCTATTTGGTGAAACTGAATAGGCTATTGCAAGAAGAAAGCTTGAGAGTAAGTACTAATTAACAGTAACTAGCACTATGTGATTAATATGGATAAAGAGAACTTTTTTTCTTGATAAATGTGGAGGTGCCAGTGGATATGAAACCAAGGGTATATTCGTAGCTGTTTTATGAAAATAAAATATGTTAATTACTCACAAAATTACATTTTATCTTTCACAGTGTTTCATCTACCAGAACTGCTTTCCGTGCTGCTTATGAGCGCTCCCTTCTAAGCTGTTCAAATGCGTCAGTGGCCCTTTAAACACTGACCAAATTCACCCTATTGATGCTAAGAGCCAAAAAGGGGGAAATCTAGCCAGTAGAGAAGATACATCAGAGCATGGGCAGGTGAACTTTCCTCTGTCATCATCTTGTAGAGGTTAAATGGCCAACTTAAAGGAGAGATTAGTGTGTGCCAAGGAGAACTCACAATCAGGATAGCAAAAACCCATCTTCTCAAAAACAATCAATAGGACCACTGTGAAGCCATCACTGCAAGCCAAGAAACCTTAGTTAAAAGAAACCAAACAACAAACAAACCTGCAAGGAGGACGCAAATGACATTGCCACATACCGTCCTTTGGCAGTGGCGTGAGCGCCTGCAGTCAGGAGAGAAGTGCGGTCTGGCACACAGCAGCAGCATCTGCACTGCTTTAAGCTAGTCTTCATAGGCTGAGTCTAAGTAAGTTCTTGGCCAGGAGAAGCACATTTACACAGAAGAAAGGAGATTGCGTCCCCTGACATCTGTTCTTGTTTTCATGGGTATAAATTAACTCTGTAGATACGATTTAAACACTTTTAGCAACACCATTTTTAGTTCAGGAGCATGGCACTGGCTGACTCGGTGTGGTAGACTGTGCAGGACCATATGTGAACAGAAAAGCTCTTTCTTACACTCTGCAATTTAAAGTGGTCCTAATTTCTAAATGTTTTGGGCAGTGTACCAGTGTTGGGTCAAGTCGCAGGATGGTAAGTGTCTCCTTCCATGTGGCTGCACATGACCATTTGGAGGGTTAGACACTCTGTACTCGGCAGTGAAGATCATTTCATCTTGTTTCTCAGAGCAATGGGGTTTTGAAGCACCAGCGTTACTCAGTACTAATAATCAAACAATAAAAGCCAAAGGCAACGGAAGTGGTTAGGGATCCATTGTTCTGGTGCCAGATTTTGCCTTTGGTTGCATGAATCTCTTGTCCAAATCAATGGGAACTTTGTATCCCACATTCAAGGGCAAAAGGTGGCCTCTTGCCAATGCTTTGAAATTGTGGCTATTTCTTTTTTTTCCTTGGATCTCACTGTACGTCAGCATCTGTAACCCATCCAGGAAGACAACAGTATATTTCACAATGTCAGGTGTCCTGCTGCTAACTGAAAATTTGGGTCCAGGTTCTTCCTTTTCTGTCCATATCAGATAGTATCTTATTCTCCAATACTGAAATTAGTAGAACTGCTCTGTAGAATAAAATGATGAAATAAAAATCTTTGTCTCTTTGTGACCACTGAAAACCAATGCCCTTAGGACAACAGGTTATAAGTGCTCACTGAGAAAACATTTAGTATCTCAGCACTGTTTTTTAAAAATATTGTACTGCTCAATAATGGGGAGAATTTGCTTTCAAAATAACAGAAAGAAACTAAACATTAAATTACTAGGATGTCAGCCTTTCACAAAATGAGTCAATCAGTCACAACATGGTGTATGTGTAGTGACACATCAAATAAGATGAGTAAGTGGCACAAGGTCTCATTAACATTAAATAAAATGTCTGTATTTCTCATTAAGTCTCAATATTAGAGCAAGTAGGAGAGGATTTCAGTCTCAGGAGCAGCTAATGAAGGAATTTCCGTAACACCTTATGGAGAAAAACCATCAGGGCACAGACAAAGGCAGTCACAGATGCACCAGCACTTGAGCGATATGCTCAAGCTAAGAAATAAAAATGCACCTCATCAGCATGAGAATAAAAATGAACACTGCTAATGCTAAAAGGTCATCACCACCAGATCTCTGGCTTCTTTATCAGAAAAAAAACCCCAATGTCTGTTCCATACAATCAGATTGGGGAAGGCATAAATATTAATAGATGAGAGCAGCTTTGAAGAGGACATGGTGGCAGGTGACAGAAGTCTGGACAGCTTGTAACTTTTAGGCAGGATGCCCACTGCCCTCCCTGATTTTATGGATACAGACATCAAGGCTTGACAATAGGACTTATGTGACATTCAGGCATTTGGCTGCACCTAAAAATACGTGGACAGAAGTTCTGACTAACAGCAGTAATTTATGGCTGATGGCCTGACAGTGTTTGGGACCTCACTACGAGCCATGAATAATCCTGATGCTTCTTTTTCATTCATTACCTATGAATTTCGTTTCTAAACTCTCAGTCAACTATGACTGCATTTCCTCTGCTGCTCTCTATTGTCTTTGCAGGGTGTTTCAGTTTGCTGCATTTAGTCTTTTTTTTTTCAGTGATGTTTATGTAAAAATAAAAAGTCCCTTTCTCCAAATTTATGTGTAATTCTCTTGAGTTTTCTTCTTTGACTTGGGTTTAATCTCTTCTGGCCAGTCTTGTCTCTTGGGCCAGTCTATAACATGATAACAGTCAGCTGCAGCTTTTAGAGCATTTGTCCTTACTGGTTAAGGCTGGAAGAGGCTACTTAAGTTTCAACACTAGTATCATATTTGGTACAGGCTATTGTTCAACCTAGAGCCATGGTGTTGAGTCCTATGACGTGCGGGGGTGTGAACTGCATATTTGATATTTTTGAAAGCAGTATGTGTAAGCAATGATAACAGAAGAATTTGGATGCCTTTCTTTCATTTTGTTTAAACTCAGGACACATGAAAATCACCAGGATTTAAACCACAAAAATAAGCTGTTTCAGTAGTAGGTATTTTTAAACAATTTGAAATTACTCAGCTTGCCTAAATGTGTAATTCTGGCATTTATCCATTTATCCTAACCTAAGACAAAATGTGCAGAAAAATTGCACCAATTTGAGCTCTTAAAGTCAAAACAAAAAACTCTGGTAGGTTGTGTGACGATGAACAGGATTTCTGTGAAAATTCAGTGAACATTGAGAAATACACTTGGGAAGCATGATAGAGTCAAACTTACCTAGTAAAAATCTTTCCTCTTATAAACCAATCTGCTTCCATTTTCAGTGCAAAGGAAGAAATACCACTAACTGACAGGCGGTTACCAGTGCTGAAAACATAGGCAGAGGGATGTTTAAAAACCACATTTAAACCTTTTTATGCAAGGGACATCGCCAGGTTGTCAGATAGGCTCTAGCATCCAGCACTGTCAGTCCAAAATAAGAGACTCTGGAAATTTTGAGTGACTTCTGGGTCTGTGCAGTAGCACTAGCAGTTAAATAACATCAGTAGCAGTAATTAAGTTAACACTGCTACAAATGCAAAGATTTACAAACTGCTTTTGTTGTTTACTGTCACAGCCCCATTAAGTGCAGCCAAGGAAAATGCTTTTAAGTAGGCTTGAATTTGCACAGAGTGGAGAAATAAAATACATGGAAAAGGGTATTTTGTCCTGTATTCCGGCTATTAATGAAAGGAAAAAATGCAGCCAGCAGCAGGTAAGCTGGATAATACGTTATCCTCCTGTAATATTGGGAGGGAGAAATTCTAGCAGCACTGTTTCCTCTTATGTCCCCAACTTGATCCTGGCTTGAGGGAAGATGTTTTAGAGAGCCTTTTCCAAGAGCAGTAGAGATATATGTGTATATATACACGCTGAGAAAGTTATTGTGCTTTCTTTCTTGGGAACTATTCAGCCCAGGTTTTGTTCTGATCCAGACCTCATTTTTAATTTACCTTGGAGTTTTTTTTTTCCCCACAGAAAAAAAGAATTGCAGGAAATCTTCCTTTGGGATAAATAATACCACATTTGAAATCGTTACTTGTCTTGAATTTTTCTTCTACACTAAATGTTATTTTTTTAATCTGCTCCATGACAGGTAAATAGTAATACTGCCAGATACAATGTCATATTCCAGCTAGTCATTTTATGATATAAAATGCTATCTTTAAGTCTAGTACAAACTTGCAAAAAATAATATTGCGTCTCGTCTGGACTCAATAGTTGCAGAGAATTAACATGCTATTTTAAAGTAATGACTAAGGAAAAAATTATTGGTATGACATAATGGCTTACATAATGTTCTGGATCAAAGTATTTCCTGCTTCTATTGTTCATGAACAGTTGACACCTTGAACAAGAAGGTTGATGCTCACTGTATAGATTAGAGGAGAGAAGCTTTCAGTAATCATATGTTCATATGGATTAATTTCTCTAAGACCTATTTTTGTCAAAAATTTAGGTTATAATCCAATAGAAAATATCTTAATGAAGACATTTGGATCCATGACAACTTATTACAGTTTCCAGGAAATATCTCTGGCCTTCTTGGCATACTTCTCTGCCTGCAGAAGCTAGACCAGAAGCCATTCGTATCACTCTGGAAGTCACCATTTCCAGTCCATCAAACAGTAGCCTCTTATAATAAGTCAAAATGAAAGAAATATGGAAAACCCTACAAAATATAAGCCTAGAAATGAATGTGCTAAACCAAACTAAATATGTATCTTCAGCAAGTCAGTTATTCTCAAGTTTCCTAACTCCTTTTCAGGGTTTCAAATATATAAGTATTGGCCTCATTGTGCATACATCAGTAGTACCTTCACTGTACTGATTTTAAGAGTTTCAGAAGTGAGTTCAAGCCCATTTCTATGACTAGTATTGAGGTTAAATGTTCTCCTGTCTCTTCTTCTGACGATTAAAAAAGAAGGCCAGAAGCCAGAATCTATAGACAGACTCTCTGATTCAGAATTGTTGTTACATTTGAATTTTGAATGATAGGTAGCTGAGGGTTGGATAAAGTTTGCTGGTCAATACGGAAAAAGGCAAAACATTCAGTATTGCATCAATGGAGCACAAAGAATACGTAACATGCAAGACACGACTTTGCCTGCTTTAAGGAACGAACAATATTCAGCCCTGTTTGGCTCTTCATAATTATGAAGATTTCTGTCCAGGACCAGTAGAATTTATCATAGCCACTGAGCCTTTGATGGACCTTAAGAAGCAGAAAACATACTGAGAACCTGCCATGTTTATAATTCTTCTATGCACCTTGTGCAGTGTGAATCAATTTTACCAAGCTGGCCCTAAGAATAGGTGATTCCCTTCAATCATCTCCAGTAACATCCGAAAATACTTTTTTCTTTCCTTCTTACAGCGATTGACTCTGAAAGCATAAATATTGATATTTTATGTGAATAATTTGAAATGGTGGTATTTCTTCTTCATCGTTCTTTCATGCTTATCATTGGAGACTTGCACTGGGTTTATTTGATATAGCATTATTCATAATACTTGCAATGTATTTATAAATAAACCTTTGCCTTATGACCTTTAGACTCAAGGCTGAGTTAGATTTGTCCTCATTAATATAAAGAACAACATTCAGATAAACCTGTTTCCGTGCTAATAAACAATTTTACTAGCTTTCCAAGGGCAAAATGCTGACACAGAAGTGCAATGGTGTGGTTTGTTTTTTCCTCATTAACCAAGATACTTACCACTATTGCGAATTCTTTCTTCTAAAAGGACAGTATGTCCTGTAGGAAGTTTCCTACTGAAGATCTCAGCTGAACGGAGGAACATGGCTTCTACTGCTGAGCCCTTCAGCAAAGCAATCTGATCTTCATGATCAAGGGTTTGGAAGCCTGGGGAGACATTAGAGATAAGTAAGGCAGCAACAAAAAAATCTCTGCTACTTTCTGCCCTGAAGTTCTTGGCACATGAGGTGCTACACATCTGCGTAACCTTGATGTCGTTGTCAGTAGGGTTGCCAAATGCTGCAGAAATTGAAACCCAATTTCCAGAAAATGACACAGATTTGGACCTCACTGAAGTTTATGAGAATTAGACTTGTGTTTCAGTGTTCATGGTACTTTAAGAGGAACATGATAAGCAAAATCCCGTGGCGTAGCATAACAAATAGTGGAGATTTTTGTGTAGCCTGATGCTGCTCCCTAACCTCTTCTGCCATGTTTCCACCAGAGCTCTGTATATGACTCTCCCAGTGCCATGCTGCTTTCAGCCCTTCCCATGCTCTGGTGGTGAAAATCAGCATTTGAAGCATCTAATTTTAAATATTTCTCCTTGCCTTTGGACTAATACTATTTTACACAGAGGCTTCCTACTGTGTTTTAAATATGCATTTCTCTTTTTGGAGGGGAAAGACTCTAAGACCCACTGAAGAAATTGGGAGAAATTTGGTAACTTGTGTGAGTACACAGCTGCTCCTCTGAAGAAGAACGAGGAGCTGAAGATCGTGGGAAACTCTCCTCATACTTGCCAATGCAGGTGCCCACCTTATACCCACCCCTTGATTCTGAGGAAGCGCAGAAAAAGGTAAAGTAGAGAATGAAACAAAAAGGTGATAAATCCTGCCAGAGGTACTCTAAGTCAACACTGAAAAGAGTAGGTTATTCAATTACAATGCTCCTCCATTCTTCATTTCCTGCGAGACAGTATTCCAGTTAGTGTAAAATATATAGTTACAACTGCAGTGCTAGGCTTTGAAGCAAGTCTGTAACACACAGAGGAAGGGTCAATATGATGGGAGTGCCAGGAAAATAATGATTTCACTCAGCTGAGCATTATAATGCACCTTCCTTAATTATAAGCAACCTGTACCATGCCCAGCGTTCGCTCTTGAGGTAACATCAACTTGGGAGTTAGAAAAATACTAATGATAAACTCACATTTTCAGTGCTTGTCATAACACACCATGCAAGGACCATAAATACTGGTGCCACCAACTGCGGAAAGTTCTTGTTTAGGACTCACAATTCAGTGGATGTCATGACCTAGAGGCTTTGCTAGAAAGGCAGCAAAGTGAGTGGGGCAGAGTCTGGCAAGTGTTAGTGGTAACTTAGAGACAGACTATTTGGCATTGCAGTGATATATGAAAATAAAATCTCTCTGGAGACACAACCCCTTCTCTGAGCGTTTTGTTTGTCAATAGGTAGAGTGCCGCATCTCAGAGTTGCAGAGTTTGAATTATTCAACATATTATTCTTCCAAGCACAAAGCTCCTTTTCTTTAGACAGTGTCTGAAGAATGTGTATGTGTCAGAGGAGGCAGCTATTTTATATAGTCTTCAAAATATATACAACAATCCCCAAACGGCAACTGAAAGGCATATAAACTTTGCAATAACAAAATTTTCCCCAACACACTGGAGATACCTGGTAGCTTTTTAGTGAATTCCACAAGAACCTGCACATGACTGGTAGCCATTTCTGTTAAAATCAGAAAATTTCCTTCAGCACTGAATTCCTCGTGTAACTGTTAAAAATCAAACCAAACAAAAATCTGTTAATGTTCATTGTCACTTCACATTTAAGAGCATAAAGTACAAGAATTATTAGACTGGATCAGGCAAGAAGTCCATCTAACACTGCAATTTGTCTCCAATGGTTGTCAAAAACAGGTATTTTGGAAGGCAATGTAAGAAGTAAAAGAAGTAGACGGTGTCCTTTCCTCTGAAACATCTGTCTCACTTTCAGCGTCTTGTCTAGCAATCAAGGATTTAGGCACTTGCTGAGCTAGAAGTTCTATATGTACCATAATATTTAACCAAAAGCCTTGTTATCCACAAATTTGTCTATTTCTTTTTTAAATATATTTTTAGTTTTGATCTCTTCAGCCTCCCATGGAAATAAGTTCCTGTCCTGGTTTCAGCTGGGATAGAGTTAATTGTCTTCCTAGTAGCTGGTACAGAGCTGTGTTTTGGATTTAGTATGAGAATAATGTTGATAACATGCTGCTGATGTTCTAGTTGTTGCTAAGTAGTGCTTACTCTAGGTCAAGGACTTTGCAGTTTCCCATGCTCTGCTAATGATGAGGTGCACAAGAAGCTGGGAAGGAGCACAGCCAGGACAG